ATATCAGATTTAGTAAACTTGATCATAAGTAAAACCCAGCAATATAATTATAAACTATTTTACTTATACGTGGATCTATGTATAAATTGCATAAGATATAATAGAAAATGTAATTTTTTAAATTTAAGTGATTATGACTAACTATTCAGCTAAAAAATATATTTAAAATTATTTCATAAAAGTGTTTACACAACGTTGCTATGCTATTAAAACAAATTAACTATTTTAAAAGTATTGCTTAACGCGGTAAAAATACAAGTTTATTTAATTTTAAAATAATAACTTGAACAAAAATTTATACTATAGATTTATTTATAAGTATGTAACTTCCAAAAGTATTTTAATGTGAATCTATAATTAGTTAATAATGCGCATGCACAAGTGTGAATAAAATACTTTAAATAATATATATGAATATATATTTATAATTATAATATAAATATATAACATATGTATAACATTTTATAAATTTAATCATTAGTAGAAACGAATAATATACTCATACTTTCTTACTTATATATATAGATATGAATAGCTATAAAAATGACATAAATGTAATGAATAGTCTAATTCTTATTATTTTAAGAGGTCTTGAACAATTAATTAGTTGAAAGCATATTAACATATTATTATAGCAATTATGTATACAATTTTAATGGTGTTATGAGTTTTGTTAATTCTATGACTTAATTTGATAGTTTTATATTATTCAAGTCTCTAATTGAAGACAAAAATCTTTCAGGCCTCAATTTGATAATTAACGATCATTTGGGTCTTGTATTGAAAAAAAAAAAACAAAATAAGATGGATTATTTATTTACTATGCCTTTCAACAAATATTCGATCTTGATCATTAATTTATGATACTTCTATCGTTAATTTTCAATCTATTTTAAATATATGTCGTTTTGATAAGTTGCACGTTAATTAAGAATATTTTTTTGTCAATAATAACTTTATTTAATGAAAATAGAGATGAATGTTTTAAGAAAAATGAAGAGTGAATATGAAAAGACAGTAATGTATTTATTGGTTAAATGAAGGTAATAATAGAAAAATATGTACAAAAAATCCAAAATGATATTTATTTGACAAATAGTTGATAAAGCTAGAATGAAAAATAGGAGATTGTATTTGTTTATTTATTCATTCATAAAGATTCTGGACATTCAATCAATTTTCATAGGCATGTCATCAATTACGAGGAAATATGTTTGCAGATCTGAAGAAATACTTTTTACTCAGTGAGACAGTATCAATTGTACTATATTTTCGGCAACTTTGTCATATGAAATGCCAACACACAATTATTAGTATTGAAATAAATAAAGCTAAAGTATTTTCACTCGTTTAAAGCGGTAAACAAATTGAACCGAACCCAAGATTAAGGTGCGTTCTTGACGAGTCGAGCGGAGCCGAGCTCAAACTTAAAGTGCTCGAGCTCTTAACGAGTCGAGTCGAGCTCCACTCGTTAAATACACGAGCCAAATTTCGAGCTCGAGCTGATCTCGAACTTTAACAAGTCGAAGTATAAAAAATTATATAAAAATTTGATTTTCGACCCTTAACGAGCCTGATCGGCTCGTTAATCAATCGAGCTTTAATGAGCTCGACTCGTTTAATTTAACAACATTTCACTCATTAGACTCTCTATCTACGTGGTTTTTTTTTTTTTTTTTTGAGATATATTACTGAAAATATCATCTTAAGGTATATTCTCTCATTATTTAAGCTCAAGAGTAATTAAAAATAAATATATCCTTACAACATGTGAATAATCTATATATAGAGTTGCTAGCAATTCATCAAATAAAGCTACATAAATTTTACCTTACAAATTATACTTACGTGATACCTAACTTTTCAAAATTTGATTATGTTAATCAAGAAAAAACTGTTATATTTTATATTAACTGAGTAGTAATTATTTTTTAATTGTATCATATAATATTTATTTGTAGAATTAATAATTATATTTACACTAAATGATACTACTATATGAAAGTTACATAAACATAAAAATTATATTGTAAAATTTTTTGTTTAAGTTATTTATTATGGCGAACTCAATCAGACATTCCTTTTTCGAAAATCAATATTATATATTTTTTTTTTGATTAAGTTATTTTTTTTAAATAAATTAATTTAATTCAAAGTCACATTAAAATCCCATAAAATCGCATAAGTAATTATTATAATAAATTTATTATTTTTCATTAAATTGATTGATTATGTTATCTCATAATTACATATATTACATTATTTATTACATTTTATACTATCATTATAGTGATTATATGTAATCAAATAGTTATGTACTATTTATTTTAACTAATGATCAATTTTTATAACATAATACCATTATCTAACCTATAATTTAATATTATATACATAAATATAATTTATAATATTATATGTTTAAAATTTAGTACTATTATGTAAATTATAATTTTAATATTATATGCATATACATGAATCCTGAAAATTTTCTCTCGTGAGCCCTAATTTATCTCCACCACCAATTTCACTTCATCGTCGTACTCTTTCAATTTTGTCGCCTTCCACACGGCCTGTGAGATAATCCGGTAGTCGTCCCCTGGCTGCTCGGCCCTTTCCCGGTGGTTTTGACTTCCCTAGTCCGGCCGCTCCTATGGTTGCGCTCGACCGGATTTGATTTGCCTGCTCCGGTGGGTTACGCTCTGGTTCCCGATCGACGAACTCCGTGGTGTTGAGGTGAGAATGGTCGAGGTGCGGTCTTTGTGGGAAGGGGTCGGGTGCGGTTCCGGCGGCTCGCGGCTTCGGGCTAGAGTGGCTAGGGATATTGCTCCTTGGATCTGCTCCCTCTCCCCGATTCTCTGGCGCTATATTCGGGGGAGATTGGCGGCGATATCGTGTTGCTAGTGGTGTTAGTCGACTTGGTGCTCTGGCAGCTGGGTGATTTCTTGGAGTTTCGGCTTTGGGGAGAATCGACCTTTTGGGGTTATTTCGATGCTTGGGATTTGACTCAGCTAGGCGGTTTGGAAATGGAGGGGTCAGCTTTCTCAAGTTGAGGGATTCCTCTATGGTCGATTTGGTGTCTGCTGGTTCGTCTCGGATTTGCTTATGTGGAAGGGCTTGTGTATTTTTTAAGTTTATGTGTTTAGTTTTTCCATTGTTTTGCCGTGTGTGTTTGTGTTGTTTAGGTGCATGCGTTTTTGGTTTGGCAGTTGGCCTCTGTGGGACAGAGTGTCAAATTATTATTTTGTTGGGATCAGACACTCGAGTATTATTCTGGTGGGATCTTTTGTTTAGTAGTTTCCGTCGTTATTGGTGTAGTTGGTTAGTGTAGTTGCGAGCGTTTTTATTGTGGCGTTGCTAGTTGAGATTCTAGGCAGTCTTCTGACATGCCCTCCCACTTTTTCAACTGTTGGTTGTTCCATTCAACTAGAGCTTGTGTAATTGGCACATTTATGCATTTTAATTTATAATATTACCTATCGTTTCAGCAAAAAAAATGCATATAAATAACATATAATACTTTATAAATATCTGTACCAATTTACAAAGTCGAATCTATACTTATATTAAAGGCGATCATATTTACTAGATATAGTAGTTAGAAAAGTCAAACTTAATTAATATTTCTAATTTTACCAATTATTTAATTAATGCATTTAATATTTTTGGTATGCAAAATAAATTAGCATTTAATTAGTTCCTAAAATATTGGGTATGCAATATTTAATTTAGAAATATCCATGTAGTTTCTAAAATGTTGGTATGCAACACGTAAAAGAAGTTTTTTTTTTTTATTTTGTTTAAATATAAAAAATTGCAACACGTAAAACTATTACAGTTAATTTTTATTTTATTTTACACATAAAGTCTAATCAATATTTAATGCATCCTACAAAATTGGATTTAGTTTAATTCTCCACACAATTGGTTGTAACTTTTTCAGTTGTACTTTATTTATTTATTTATTTTACACATTTAAATTAATGAAACTCTCCGAAAATACCAAATCAAATGATTTATGAAAGTTTTTTTTTTATTTTTTATGTTTACAATTTTAAATCTATATACCCAGCTCAGAAAGCTCATTGCATAAAAATGGACGAGTTTAAGAAAATTTCATAACTCAGCTTACAAAATTCCATCTCCATGAGTAAAAAAACACATCTCTCATCTCTATGAGTAACAACTTTAAAGATAAATAAATAAATGTTTAAATACTACTATCCATTATCTATTTAGATTTTTTAAAACTCTAAATTTCACCTGTCTAATTACTAATATTTTAGATACTTTTAAATATTATTTGTATAAATTTTTTTTTACACATTTGCTCTCTCTCTCTCTCTATATATACATCTATGGAGGTTAAATGAAAATTTTTTAGACATGTTTAAATAGATAATAACACATAACTCCATACATATTTGCCCGGCTTAAAATTTTTTTAGACTTAACATTGATTAAAAGAGGTAGAAAATAGATAATAGATAATAACATTATTACTTTTTAGACTTAAACGGATAAGGTTGTGAAAATAACTTATTTAATATCTATGTCTCGTGCATCGCACGGGGTACGTAGTAGTACTAGTTTATTAGGCGTTATATTGGGTTTGTTAATTAAAAAGAAACCGCAATTAAAAATGAAGATAATCGCAATCAATCGTGCATTTCAATCAAGGTATTTAATTTAATTCTTTGATTAGTCTCTAATCTTTTTCCACCATTATAATAATATTATTATTATTATAATAATATCTCAAAACTGCCCGAAAAAAAAATTCCAAAACCTGCCCGAGCGTGCACCTAACGCACACGGCCAGCTGCTCAAATCATGGCGGGCAGCCCGAACCCCAACACCTCACTCATTATTTCTCAATTCTCACTGCTTTCCTCTTCCATTTCGCCCCAACAAATCCAATCACCCAAACGTTTCCTCCGCTACCTCCGCGCCGCACCTCTTTCGCCGTGGTCGGCGGCGCGTGAGTGTCAGTTTTTGTAGAAATGGGTCAAGGCCTGAGCTGCAGGGAGCAGGAGGAGACCGAGCTGTTCAGCGCAGTTCAAAATGGAGAGCTTCAAATCGTTGAGGCAATGGCGGATGAGGACCCGAACCTACTGGCACTGAAGACGCTTCACCGGAGGCTCTCCGCGCTCCACGTGGCGGCCGCAAACGGGCGGATCGAGGTGAGGGTTCTAATGCGATCCCGTTGATTGGTTTATTTTGTTTTTTTTTGTTTGTTTTGTTTTTGTTTTTTTTTTTTGTTTTTTTTTTTCTGCTGTTTGCCTGTTTTTATAGTCTCGGAGTGTTTTTGTGGCGTGGGGGTTTATGTTTGATTTTGGCTAGGTACTTTCAATGCTTCTGGATCGGTTTGGGAATCCGGATATCCTCAATCGGCACAAGCAGGTGATTTGATTTCTGGATTTGTTTTCATTTTTTTGTGTCTTTTTAGTTTTATTTGTATGTTTCGGGAGCTCGATCAAGATGCAATTGCTGTTGTTCATCACTTGTAATTTTCACTAAAATGAAGATTTCTTATATTGGGCTCTGTTTGGATTAGACTCCATTGATGTTAGCTGCAATGCACGGGAAGGTCTTGTGCGTGGAAAGGTTGATTCAAGCAGGAGCCAATGTAAGATTCATCTTTTCGACTTCCGTGTTTTTATTTTACAGTTAATAGATCTGATGACTATATAATTCTGAGTTGTGCATAACTTGATGATTGAGTTTTGAAGTTAATTGTTCTTTTTCCACATTTTTTTTCAGATTTTATTGTTTGATACATTATATGGGAGAACCTGTTTGCATTATGCAGCCTATCATGGCCACTCAGATTGCATTCAATTGATTCTTTCTGCTGCTAATTCCACTTCAATTGCTCAGTTTTGGTAATCGTCTTCGATTTTTTTTATTTATTTTTTTGTTGATATTATGTGTACCATGAAAAAAAAAAAAAGAATCTGCTCATCTTTTATTACATGGGAATTTGCAGGGGTTTTTCAAGATTTGTCAACATAAGAGATGGAAGTGGTTCGACCCCACTGCATTTGGCTGCTCGCCAACGAAGGCCAGATTGTGTTCGAGTCTTGTTGAGCAATGGGGCCCTTGTGTGTGCTTCTACTGGTGGCTATAGGTATCACTTTTTGTAGAATTTTCAATCAAACCAGCATTTTAGTGTAATAGACTTGTGTTTTAAGAATAGATTTTAGTACTACAGCTATCCAGGTAATACACCTCTTCATCTCGCTGCTCGTGGGGGCTCACTGGACTGTGTCCGAGAATTGCTTGCTTGGGGTGCTGATCGTCTTCAAAGAGATTCTTCCGGGTGAGTTGTGTGAGTTTTGCAATATTGGTTTTACTCTTTAAATTGAATTACGATAAATTTTTTAGTTCTTCATATGTGAAGTAAAGTTCTTAGGCTTCATGGGAATTCTTTTTGTGGACCCCTGATCACACCTCTTCCATTCATTTATTCAGTTGATCATAAGTAAATCCATTTGAGTTAAGATTTCTGTCGGAATAAACGGATATGTTTTATTTCAATTTTTAAATGCATCCACCTCGAAGGTGAGTAGTTAAATATCATATTGCTTTAATGTGACTAAAATTCATTCCCTGCCATCCTCTCTAAAGTAAAAAAACTCTTCTCCTGATATGTTGCTTAGGGAAGTTTACTAAAAACTTATGCTGGATTTTAGCTTAGTTACACACATAACTTCAGTGTTATCTTTCAAGAACTAAAACATACCTCCCATTGTAGAATGTGGAGTTTGCAAAGAGAAACAAATGTTAAAAGAGTTTTTAAAAGACAATTGCTTATCACGAGCGCGTGTATGTCTGTGTGTGTGTGCAGCTCTTACAGCTAACACGTTTATTGCGTTCGGGAACTCGATACAGACAACCTCTTCATTAACCTGCTGTTTTCTTATGAAAATGTGAGCTCAAATAAAATGTTTGGGTGCAACCTGCAGGAGAATACCTTACATGGTGGCAGTGAAGCATAAACATGATTTATGTGCTGCTTTGTTGAATCCTCTGGCTCCGGAGCCTCTAACTTGGCCTTCGCCTTTGAAATTTATTAGCGAACTCAATCCGGACGTGAAAGCCCTGCTACAGAAAGCTCTAATTGAAGCCAACCGAAAGAGAGAAAAAGCAATATTGGACACACCTAATTCCCTTCAACCACCATCACATTCTGGTGGTAGTGATGATGAATCTGAGGTACAGAAAATCTTACCAAAAAATTACTTTTCTTTTTTTCAAGAAATTAAAAAAAAAAAGTAAGTAAATTGGATGGTTGGTGAACAAATGATAACCATCATGAATATCTTAAATGAATTTACTTGAACACCGCCCACTATCCGAGGAACAAATGGATTTTGTTTATTCAATTAACAAGTTATACTTCAAAAAGTGATAATTACAAAAAGTGCCCTTGAGGTTTGACGTAATTACATAAATTATAGAAAAAAACCAGCTAACAACTGAAATTACACATACCGGAAGGGTGAGGTTGGGAATTGAAGTTAAACTGTTAAACGAACTAACTGTTTTTTATAACTGTGAAGGGAAATTTAGGAAATGGTTTCCTCATCTGATAGGTTGAATTGAAAATGGTGTAAAATCTCAGGGGTAGTTTTTGTACTTCATGTGAGAAAGTTGCTCATCTTTGTAATAAGGTTGAACTTCGGGTACCTTTTGCAGCTGGCTGTGTTTGGTAAGCATATAACCTAGCTTATAGCTTATTTGATTAACTTATAAGCTTCATGTATTCAAATAAGCTTTGTTTGGTAGGATGACCTTTTTTAACAAAGCTCGAGCTTATCTTATAAGCTTCCTTGGGTAACTTTTAAATAAGCTCATTGAAATTTTTATTTCAACTAAGTTTATCAGCTAGGTTTACCAAACACAGCCTTCATCCTAATAGTTTAGATTCACTCATCCACTTTTACTAGTTTGAATCGAAGCATGAAAAGAATTCTTTCACCACACAGGCTGACGAAGAAGATGAAATGTGCTGCATTTGCTTTGAGGAAGCTTGCAAAGTCGAGGTCCAAAGCTGTGGTCATCAAATGTGCGCTTATTGCATTTTAGCCCTTTGCTGTCACAGCAAACCCAATTCTTCCTCTAACAATGCGAAAATTCCAGTTTGCCCCTTCTGCCGAAGCAGCATTGCCCGACTAGTCGTGGCCAAGAGCAAAACAGATGAGGAGACCGAGTCCGAATTGAATCCTACGAAACCAAGAAAATCGAGATTGTCGGTGAGTCTCGGGGAATGCAGCAGCAATTTCAAGGGTCTGTCAGCTTTGGGCTCGTTCGGGAGATTGAGTCGGAACTCCGGAAAAGTTGCGGCCGATTGTGATCTCGATTTTGATAAGTCATGATAATAAAATTTTACTGAATCTCGACTAAAATCTCGAGGATTGCACACTTGAGCTGAAGGTGGTGATGAGGATAGAGCCTGAAAAAGATCTGTGGTGGTGTTGATCTAAAATGAGGAGTTTGTTCTTAAGGGGTTTAGTTTATAGAGCTCGTAATTAGCACATGTTAATTATGTTAATGACTGTTGTTGTAATTAATTGAATTGGCTGAAGGCTCAGCTATTTTGTAATGTGATGAGGGAATGCAATGCAAGTGAAGGATGATGGATATTTTTTCTTGGTTACTTAGTTTTTTATTTTTTTTACATAGTTTATTTTTTTATTTTTTATTTTTTATTTTTATGGTGAATTATTATGACTTGCCAAATTTACAAGTTTTGGGTAAAATGAAGGCAAAATTGACTTTAGTATCACGACCTTTTTTAAAATTACAATTTAGGCACGATCTTTTCACTTTTGTAAATTATATCACAATCTCCAGTTTGTAGCAAATCGGCACACGATTCTTAAGAAAATTGCTGATGTGAAGATTGCGATATATTCAAGGGTTATGCAACGTGCATCGATTTGCAACAAACTAATAAAATGCCGTTATTAAATTGCAATTTCAAAAATGAACGTGATACTAAGGGCAATTTACCTAATATAAATGCAACAATATTAGCCTTAAGAATATTGACCTTTAACAATTTATTTGAAATTTTAAAAACACCTTCAAATGTCATGAATATTCAATTTGTTCAGCAATTTGATTTGTTTAGATTTCTTAAGGGATTATTTTACAAAATCCCCCATCAATGATTACGATTTTCAGGGATTTAAGTCAAATCAATATATCCTAAGGATCTAAAACTTTAAAATTTTAAAATATCACTCAAAATCTCAAAAAAAATACACTCTTTACTTTATTATTCTTTGAATAAATTTCAATAAAAATCTTTGAGCAGCTAAAATTTATCACATATACACAAAGGTATTTCCATTCCATAGAAGACCAGACAACAATACATGGAATAAAATTCACAATAAATCCACAAATAAAATAAACAGCAGACATAAAAAAAAAAAAAACCATTAATAATATTACAATTCCAGGGCATTTCAAAACAGAGCTTATACTTGCTTCCAATGCAAGAAAATTACATAAAAATAAATAAAGATGATATAGAGCTATACAGAACCTCATGAAATGCAGATAATGAACGAAAGCACCACATTAATCTTCTTTTATATTCTCTTGCAACTAAAGAACGATAGCCGCAGGCCTAGGATAAGCCTTGTGTTTACGTGCTTCCTTCGACTGGTTATTATTATGTCGATTTATCCGTTTTTCCTTTTTCTCGTTTTGCGAATCTTGAAGCTCCTCCAAGGCTTTCACCACCTCATTCATAATGGGCCTCAACCGGGCGTCTGTGGACAAGCACTGGAGAGCAAGGCCCACAGCCTTCACAGCCCGACCCAGTGAATATTGGCCCTCAAGCCGGGTATCCATGACCCGGATAATCCTTCGTTTGTTGGTCAGGTAAGGTTTGGCCCAGTCGACAAGATTTTGTTCGCCTGTGGGCCGGGTTTTGTCGATGGCCTTTTTCCCGGT